GTAATGATGCACAATTTATTGTTATTATAATAGTAAATACATGTAACTTGTAACAAGTACACTTTTAAATAAAGTGTTGGGGGGGGGTAATTGGGGGGCAGCATATTTTCATGACTGTTTCTTAATATACTTAGGTAAATTTTTAAAAAGTGATTTGTAATAATGTCAAATTAAAAGTTTTAATTTGAAAGTTTTAATAAACTTGTCATGATTTGAAGAAACGCACTTATTTTGATTTGTTGACATACATACATACAAACATACTAAAGCACATGTAAAGTACTAATTATAATTTAGAAACTGTAGTTTGTTATGTGATATTATGTTTAAAATTAAAGTTTTAAAGTGGTGGTTGATTGCGATTTCACTTTTTTAACGTTAGTTAGTGTGCGATGTTGCTGTTTGAGCATAAACAATATCTGCAATGTTGCGGTGCTGAAAGTTCAATGCAAACGGAGATATTGTCTTTTAAAATTCTGGCAGTTTAATGCCTACAAAAATGGCTCGTTGTTATGTGATATTATGTTTAAAGTTAAAGTTTTAAAGTGGTGGTTGATTGCGATTTCACTTTTTTAACGTTAGTTAGTGTGCGATGTTGCTGTTTGAGCATAAACAATATCTGCAATGTTGCGGTGCTGAAAGTTCAATGCAAACGGAGATATTGTCTTTTAAAATTCTGGCAGTTTAATGCCTACAAAAATGGCTCGTAGGGACTACAACCCAGATAAACCCCGCCCCCAGGAACATGCAGCAAAGGGTTGTGAGGCCATGTTGTGCTGCTTTAGAGAAGAGGAGGAGAAAACTAGGGATGCATGTAAAAATCTATTCATATATGAATCGCAATTCTGTCTTCTAACGAATTCCAACAATGAACTGTTCAATTTATACACGAGAAGCATTATACATGGACGCGCTTGCGGTTGCCGTAGTGTATTAAAGCTTTAATCAGGATAAAAACGTATATTAAAAGCTAACAGAAGCAGTAGCATTTACAAATAACAGCGTATCTAAAATATGAGACAACAACAAACAAAATACATACCATTAAGAGCCGTGCTTGCACAGGTTCTGCATGATCCTCTTATCAGCGCGTTTATAGGAGAAGGGACAGAGCGGTGTAGAATAATGGTAAATTATGTGAAAAAATAATGTGTTTTTTTTTTTTTTTAATTAAGCATTAACACATGTTAGACTGCACCCCATAAACACAATCAAGCCTAGAAAAAAAAACAGTGAACCACCCGAAATGATCAGCGCGTTTATAGGAGAAGGGACAGAGCGGTGTAGAATAATGGTAAATTATGTGAAAAAATAATGTGTTTTTTTTTTTTTTTAATTAAGCATTAACACATGTTAGACTGCACCCCATAAACACAATCAAGCCTAGAAAAAAAAACAGTCAACCACCCCTTTAACTTTACTTACATTATCATTAGAAATGTGTAATTACAAATATATATTAAGTACATGTTTTTGTAGTATCTGTAGTTTCTGTAGTTTTAATAGAAATTGCATTAAAGTATATTTAGTTTACATTAATGCTAAGTTTAGTTGACCAAAAATACACTTTAGCCATATTTCAAAAACAACATAAGTAAATTATGAAATTACATAAAAATCACTCTAACTGCGTTTAATATAAATTTAAACTATTATGCATGCAATTAACGTTCAGTTAAGTGCCTGAAAACATTACATTCAGTTCCCACTTAAGTATGTTCTTTTAAAAGTATATTATTTCAATAGGAGCTACTTTATTTAATTATTTATTTATTTGGCTAGAGTGTTCCTCTTTTTCACTGGTAATAGCAAGAGTGTAGCGCTATAAAATGAATGTGGATATCATTGTTCAGATCATTTGGTCTTTGGTGTTCGAATTCATGCTGAGATCCCTGACTTCTGCAGACTTCACTTTTAGTGTCTTAGTAAATCTGAGCAGAGTTTGAGAAGTTGAGATCTATTCTAAAACATCAGAAGAGACACATGAGATTACTGGGTCTGTTTCTTAGGAGAAATAAAAAGAGAGAGAGATAGAAGCAAAGGTCTCAGTTTGTACTGTTTAATCGCATTACTTTTCTCTCATTTGAGATTTCTTTCAGTTGTATGTAGTGAAATTCCTAATGCTTTTATATTAGGTACTCCCAATTTTCAGTGTCAGAAATACATACTTGACTTTTACCCAAGATCTCATTGTGGTCATATCTTTCAATCTGACAAGCAGCAACAGCAAAAATTACACAGTGTTCTCAGATCTGCTCTAAATTTCAGGTCTCTAATTACCTCTATTGTTTCTTTCTGAACAACCACAACTGAAACTTGAAACTGAAACAAAAAAAAAATTACAATTCTTATAGTGCCTAATTATATTTTCATCCATGTGGCAATAAAAAATAAATCATGCATTTTTAGTCAATAGTAGAATGAAATGATTAGGGAAATGCCACAAATGCTTTTTGAAAATGAAACAGTGAGCAGATAAAAAATGTTTGTATGTTATTATCACAGGAACCCTTCTGGTGGAGAACATGCAGATAAATGGGAGAGCAGAAGACCCTGACAGGACCATTTCTTTATCTTTACGGGACAACCACGACTACTGGGTCATTCTGGACCCAGTCAAGCAACGCCTGTATCTCAACAGCACCGGACGACTTCTGGACCGAGATGTAATTATTTGCTATACAAGTCTGAAACAACCATTGAATGCAAGTGGTGCAGAAATCCTTTTTTTTTTTTTATATATATATACATGCATGTGTGTGTATTTATATATACATAATAAATATACACAGCACACATACATATATTATGTAAACAAACTTTTATTTTGGATGCGATTAATCGCGATTAATCGTTTGACAGCACTAATAATAACACTTCCTCCAGTAAAAAGTCCTCTCACATCAAAATCCACCAATATATATATATATAGTTTTGGACTATGTTTACTTGTAAATGGTGCATATTTCTCTCCTAATTCAGACGAGATCACTTTTTCACTGTAGAAATCAATATTATGGATAGAGGACTTGTATTTTAGCCAGAAGCAATGCTTTGACGTTAAAAACATGCAGCTTTTTGCTTCAAAAATACATTAATTGATTATCGTGATGTCTGACGGCACCCATTCACTGCAGAGGATCCATTATTGAGCAATATCTGCCTTTAATTCTCAGGTGAACAATTCCTTTAAACATGGAAATAAAACATGAACCTGTTAAGTATTTTTTTTAATCTTAAAATTGCTTCGCTGATAATATAACTAGTAATATAACTAGTAATGAAAAAAAAAATTCCACTGGTGGTCTCAAACTTTTGGACCCTTTCTGTCCAAAAGAGGTCTTTTGGTTCAATCAGAACTATGATAAAACAAAAAAGTTCCTCTCTTTTGCTTCAAAATCTGTTGTTCACAGTATGCACTTTGTAATGGGCTTCATAATAGAATGCAAGCAAATGGTCATTTTCCGGTTGGTCTGCTGAATGCACACCATGCAAATTAACTTTCTCGATTTGTCTCTTTTATTTTTGTCTTTCAGCCTCCCTCCTACATTCAGTCCATTGTGGTGCAGGTTCAGTGTACTAATGAGCTTGTTGGCACGGTGATCCTACACGAGGTGCGGATAGTCGTACGGGATCGAAACGACAACACCCCACGCTTTCAGCAGCCGCGCTACTATGTAGCGATTAATGAGGTGAGTTTCTATTTAGCAGGGCCTCTTTTGTTCTTCTTCTGTAGTTGTAATGACTTTTTCATGAGTTACTTTTCTACAGTTTCTGGAGAGCATCGACGTCACCAGCATTCTGGAGCACACGTTATTAGAAGTTTGCAGGAGTGAGTTGCTTTAGCTAAAACTGAACACTTGCCAGCTGTAATTGGAAATTCAATCAGTGGATTGTGCCAGTGTGATGGTTTACCCACGACAGGGTTATTTTGCGGTAAATGAATTGCAGTTGTGGGCATTGGAGCTGAAGCATTTAGCTGTTAATGTTTCTCTGTCTTTGACTGCTGTGTAATTACTCCAGGAGTGCTGTAGCTCACTGAATAAATCTGCCAGTCACCTTTTGTGACTTATTTAGCTTCTCTGTGTTTTTCCACCATAAGTTATGGCTGTATTGTAAATTCCCATTGCACCGTTGCTCGGTATGCACACTTTTGGCTGACACTTTTCTTGATATACTCTGCCCTTCTATTTTTGCTTCCCAATTCATAGAAGTTAAAGTCTATGTATGCTTTCATATATCCTGGAGAACTACTAAGAACTACTCAATACAGGTTCATAATTAATGTGAATGATGCATAATGTATAATTAATTCTAAAGAGAAGATCATGATAATCCACTAGTAATGACTCAAGTATTACCAAATCCTTCTAAGGGAACTACTAATTACTTGGATCAGTATTCTGAAGTGAAAAGCATGACAACTCCCTAATATTGGCTGAGGTCATTGTAAGCTTTTGAGATATATGTAAGGCTTTGGATAGTAATGGCTCGTGTGTTACTGCATCCTTCTGAAGAAATTACTAATTATTTGGATCAATATTCTATAGTGAAGTTCATGGTGACCTACTAGTAATGATTTAAGTGTTACCAAATCTAGCAAAATGAATTACTAACCAAAAACCTCAAAAGTTTACAATGACTTCAGTAATTACTAGGGAGTTATCACGATCTTCACTTTAGATGCTGATCTAAAACAATTAGTAATTCCTTTAGAAGGATGTAGTAACACCTGAATAATTACTATCCAATACTTTACAAAACCCTCAAAAGCTTACAATGATTTCAGTCATTACTAGAGAATTATCATGTTATTCACCTTAGAATACTGATCCAAATAATTAGTAATTCCGTATCCGTTTCTAGTAATAATTAATTAATAATTAGTAATTCCATTTCTTAGCATTTTAATCTATCTTAATGTTTTTTTGGTGGAAAATGTGATACAGTACCATTCAAAAGTGTGGTGTAAGAAGGATTTTTTTTTTAAGAAAATAAATTAATACTCATGTTACAGTAAAAACATTTATAATGTTACAAAAGATTTATATTTCAAATGAACACTGTTCTTTTGAACTTCATGTTAATCAAGTAATCCTAAATGTTTTCTATCAAAATATTAAACAGAACTAATTGTGTTCAACATTGATATTAATAAGAATCATAATTATGATTTATATATTAATGTATTGTAATTAATGATATCGATATATATGAATTATTCCAATAATAATTGCTAACACTTTTTTATTTTTTGTAAATGAAATAAATGCAGTATTGGTGAGCATAATATGCTTTTTTAAAGTTTTTTTTTCTTTCCAAACTTTTGACCGGTAATGTAAAGTACTACATTATTTTGAAAAAAAAAAAAAAAATTATACTATCTATATGAGAAATATATCTATGTCTATATGAGTAAGTCCTTTTTATACAGTAATAGAGGTGAGATTTCTTATTGGGTTTGTATGAGGTGTCTGAAACATGTATATCGGGTATATATATATATATATATACTGTATATATTAGGGCTGTCATCGTTAACGCATGCGATAAATTTTACAGTCCTTAACGCGTTAAAATAATTTAACGCAATTAAGCACAATTTCTATTCTAACCTTTTAACCCAATTTTGCTTCTCTGCTTGCGATTAGATCATTTTAAGCCGCTAAACTCCGGGAAAGTTTTCAGTCCAATGATCCAAGTAAGCAAATGCATTTAAACAATCCGTCCAAAACAGCGCTAATATAAAGGAAACCAGGCTGATTACATCAGAGATTGCAGAGAGAACAGAGACTCGCGTTGCGTTTTCAGTGAATTATTCATTCCAGTGTGTTTCGCTTTAAAACACGAGCTCTGTCATATTCTGTGATTGTCTCAGAAGAGCGCGAGTCCTCACATGTCACGCGCTTGTGTGAAGTACAGACTGAATGGATTGTCAACACATCCCACCGCTGTATGGCCAGATGAGACGCAAACTACGTTTTCTCGACTGGATAACCAGTCTCGCTAGTAAAGTTTTGATGGATGAAGACTGCAATCAAGGTAAAGACGATTGCGGTGGCGTACAGGAGTCGTACAGTACAGTAAGCACGCGTCCGTTATAATAATGCGTGTATGAGTGCTCTTGACGCACTGATCGTACATTGTATTTATGCACAGACATTTCCGTACATTCAAGTTGTTTCCACAAACATTCACGATAATGTTTTGATTTGTCATGTGTATGTTGCTGTGTTTAGTTATACTGAATGGATCCGTGTACTGTAGTAGATATATGCAGTCAGCAGGCGGTTGGTTTAGTTTTTTTTTGGCATCACCATGTGGTCCTGTTCGGTATCGCAACTTGGCTTCTCTAAAATGTAAAAAAGCTCTTTGCTGTTGCACTGTACACATACTATAAAATTCAGATGATTTTTTTTTCTTATACGCTTATATGGACTCCTTATATCATTTGGTTCTTTGGTGTCCTTTTGGAGTTTCTAAGTGTCCTTTTTTGGAAAGTCATCTAAATTTATCTTGAAAAAATCTAGATAGATTTTTGAGAATCACCCTTCAATCTTTTGGTTTACTTTGCTGGATATAGCAAATAATGACAAAATAAACATTTGAAACAAGATAAATGGTCTATGCTTAATTTCATGAAGTGTGCGATTAATCGCGATTAATCACAGAAAAAAGGGTGTTTAAGACTAAAAATTTTAATCTATTGACAGCCCTAATATATATATATATACAGTATATATATACGGCACTTAGAGGCTTTTGCATCTGAACTCTTCATATATATATATATGAAGAGTTCAGATGCAAAAGCCTCTAAGTGCCGTATATATATACTGTATATATATATATAT